GGCTGGGCCCCCCCCCAGGTTGGGGCTGGGTGCTGGGGCGGTGGCTGGGGGCCACGGAGCCGTCCCTACCAGGAATCCTCCCTGCCCCACCTAGCCCCCATCCCAGTGGGACATTCCAGGGGAGACAAAGAGCCCCTGGTCAATGCTGTGTCTCCCGTCCACTCTTCTCTGCTGGCTTTTTCTGCAAGGGGAAAATGTGTGGGATGATTTCACAAGCTTTGTTGCTTTCTACTTGGGGTCTCTCCCTCAAGTAAAAGAAATTAGCTTCAGTAGGATCTCTGGAAATACAATACCTGGAGATGAGTCCTGTAGCCAATGAAACTTCATTAAGTGTTTTCCTTTCCACTTTTGGTGGGAGGAAAGAGAGTTACTGTATTTTTCCTCATTGCACAGAAAATCTCCTCCTCGTCTATGAGAATGTACCTATGGAGTTAAGTGAAAGAAACCAGGCAGGGTGAAAAGCCGAATTTGGTGACTTGGAAGAGAACTGTATTTATTGAAATATTACTTTTAATTACTTATAAACTAATAAATTTTGCATAGATTTGAAACACATTCTTTAAAATCCTAACAGAATATATAATTACTTAGAGAAAGTATAACTGTGACCATTTTTGGCAAAGAGCATACCCTATAAAACATTAAATTTAAAATATATTTGAGATTATTCTAATGTCCTACTGCTCCCTAAATTTCTTTCTTCTGGTGGGTTTGGTATCACATCTTTCTAAAGAGTTTTTTCCTTCTTATTGCTATACATGTTTGCAGGCTAGCCTCTTACAGGACAATTTTCAAGGAAGGATTAGCTGGAAGTTTTCCTGTAGTGCTACTAGTCTTCCAAGTGTTTAAACACGCTGAAGAGGACCTGGGTTGGCTCAGGACAGAGGCATGAGGCACGGGATGCTCTGGATACACTGAAGATGCTGTGAGGGCAGAAACAAGAACCTTGCCCTGGTCTTGGGGTAGCAATGACAAGCTTGGTATTGGGGGAGAGGGAGAGACGTGAGGAGCCTGCAGAGCTTTCGGACAGAGAAAATTTGCAGGGAGAGGGCAAATTAAGTGGAGAGAGAGGTTGCAAGAGAAGAGATATCACAGGCAGGCATGCAGGGTAAATCACACTGAGCAACAGGTTGCAGGAAATAAGGACAAGGCATTGGCTAGAGTACAGGGCAAGGTAGAAGCAGGGTTAGGAAAGGTTTTGAGGCATCATACCATGCTGCCTTCGATGGCCTCAGTATAACCCAGATACTAACAGCGCTGACATATTAAGTTATTTTCCTTTTTCCAGGAATGACCACAGCATCATCTTCAGCAACAACTACAGCAAGTAAGTAGAAGGCAGCAGTCAGCACAAATCTGCGATGTTTTGCTGCTGTAGAAGTATGGTGTAGTGGCCAGTTAATATAGTTAGTCATGTTATGGTGACAGCTGTAAGCCCCACAACAAATTCCTTAGCAGCATACTCTGATATCTATTGAGGTATGTATACTATGACGATTAACGTGGGAGCCTTCATTTTGTTGATGTGTCTACAGTAAAAGACCCTACCATGACACTATATTATAACAGGACAAGTACATACTAGTGCAGTATTAAAGACGCACAGGCTATCGTAGTCTGCCTTTTTCTAACTTAGTCACTGATTTTGGCAACCCTCAATATACTTTTTTTGCTTGTTTTGGTTTTAGTTGTATTAAGTAGAGTTAGACTGTGAATGCTCAGTATGACAGATAATGAATTTCAGCCTTACTCTGTGTCCTCACTGTGATATCCTGCGCGATTGTGTAGGGA